ACAGTGCGATGACGACAGTACGACAATTGGACAGTGCGACAGTACGATGACGACGATACGATAGTGCGATGACAACAATGCGACAGTGCGATGGCGACATTGCGATAACACTATCGCTCTGTCGTCATCGTACTATCGCGTTATCGCATTGTCGCCATCGCACTGTCGCATTGTCGTCATCGCACTGTCGTATTGTCGTCATCGCATTGTCGCAATATCGCATTGTCGCCCTTTGTATTTTAACGTATAACCACGATGGCCCTAACGGTATTCCGTAGGTAATTGACAGATATGTCGCGTTGTCCGATGAAATGACGATAATCGGAGTACTAGGCCGAGACTGGCTACATAACCGCGTGGTACGGATCCACGTGATCTAAACATGGCGGGACGAACACAATCACGTTTGTTTCACGTCACCGATGTTGACCAATCACGATACAAAGGTGGTAATGGTAACGAGGCAGAAGGCGGGATGGAACAGGACTGAGGTCAAGACCCACGTGTTGAAGTAAACGTAAACATTGTATCATGGCATAATGAATCATTTGTAAACTACATTCAGTCGTTTGATATCATTAGATAAGTTGAGTCATGGATTGATTGGTGTGGGGACTACAATAATTTACTTGACAGTAATACGTGTTTTTTATGATATACGGAACAAATGTAAAGCTAGTAACAATTTTTCGTAATAGTGGTGGTGTACTTGTTTTGTCAAATGTGCATTAATATTGAACAGTTTTATAACTAGCACGTGTATAAATTATATTAATTGGGTAGTTTTATGTTCGAAAAGCTCAATTTTTCATAACATGCAAGATGTTGCATTTTATAAAGCATATGTGTCGCCTGAAGGTTCCAATATTTACAATAGCAGAGTAGAGAAAAATGGGATTAAAAATGATATATTAATACTTAAAAACCTCTACCCTGATGTATATATCTATTTGGCAGATAATTTCAATGCACGTATAAAAAAACATGTTATATTTCTTCCCTGGTGATAATGTTTATAATATATATGAACCGAAATTGATTATAATATTGATGATTTCGAGATGAATCGGAATAGCAAAGATTCTGAACGATACATAATGGATATAGTAAATCCCTTGTTAAACTTTGTTGTACAACTAGTTTATATATTTTGAATAGTATATTATATTATGACTTTTTGGTACTTATACATGGCTTACTCATAATTGTCATATTGTTGCTTCTGAATTGTTGCCATGTATAACCTTCTTCAATATTGATGTAAAAGAAGACTCAGACCACATTCCTTTAAAAACAAAAACAGAACAGAACAGAAATTTTATTTTCTAGACTTATACAAAGTACATCGTCTTGTTAACATGAATTGAATAATATATACAACATAATCACATAAATATATGTATGGCGAGTCATTATAATAAATATAAACATAACAATTACAAGCACCAAATTCATGAGAGGATAAACTACAATTGAGAGTTCAAAATTGTATTTCTTAGCTTTAAAGCTTCTTTGATATATTTGCAAACATTTATTAATATTTTTTTATTTTTATTTATTTATTTATTTTTATACACAATAATTCAGTAAATTTAAACATAGATGGTCTGTTATAATAGTAACTTTTTATATATTTTTTACGTAAATCTACAAAACTTGAACACACACATATGAAATGATACTCATCCTCTATATCCAAAACATTACAGCACTGACAGTATCTTTGTTCACGAGGAATATTATTAGTGGCATACCTGCCTGTTTGTATTTTGAGAGGATGAACAGATAGTCTTAATCGACAAAAATACATTCTAAATTTACGTGGTAAAATGTCAAGATAATTTTCGTAACTAAGACACGATTTAAAATGTTTGTAATTACATAAAACAGAACTTCGATCTAGGATACTGGCCCATTCTTGTTTATACGTATCAATAACTCTACTTTTAAATTTTTGAAGAAACAATTAAGGATCTATATAATTATCACTATCAAAAATATCAGCAAAACCATCATAATCACATAACAACTTCTTCACATTTGAGACCCAATTTTTACACCCTCTTTTACAATCAATTACACCTTCTCTATACATTGTATTTAAAATGATATTATCCGAGTTTTTCAACTTGCACCAAAATTTAATTATTCTAGCATAGCGGGACACATATAATGGATATCTTCCTAATTCACCATAAACAGCAGCAGAACAAGTATTATGTCTTACATTTAATAATCGTTTGCAAAATTTTAAATGAATTGTTTCTATTTCTTTAGATTTTGTGTACCCCCATATTTCAGATCCATATCCTAAGATTGAGTCTACAAATGTATCAAATAACTGGCATAATGTTTTTGGTTTTAAATCAAATTTCTTACAGTTATAAAATAAAACATTTAGAGCCTTTAATGCTTTCCCTATTAAATGTTCCTGATTAAGTGTGAAATTACTAGTATAGTTAAAAACAGTACCCAGGTAGTTAAAATCATTTACAATATCTAGGATTTTGCCGTCGTAGGTCCAGTGTTCTGTGGGTAGAAGTCCTCCACGCTTTCTAAAAACCATTACTTTAGTTTTAGTAGTATTTACCTTGAGACCCCAAGTATTACAATATGAATATAAAAGATCTAAATTATTTTGAAGTTCTATTGGTGACTTGCCCACGATGGCCATATCATCAGCAAATAATAATAAAATCAATATAACATCATCAAATGACAAACCAGTTTCAATGTTTTCTTGCAAATAAAGTTCCAAATCCTCAACAAAGAGAGAAAATAGAATTGGAGAAATTACCTCCCCTTGACGTAGGCCAATGGCATAATTGAAATAATCAGAATAATTAGAACATGGTACATATCTCTAATTATTCTTAACATTTTACCTTGGATACCTATTTTATACATTTTGAGCCATAATGCGTTTCTGTAAATACTATCAGAACATTTCATCAAATCAACAAAAGCTACATATAAACGTTTATTTTGATTTAAATTTTTTTGGATTAAAGACAAAAGAATAAATATAGCATCCATTGTAGAACGCCCTTTTCGAAAACCGAATTGAGCATCAGATATATTATTACTTTCACAAAAAGTTTCAATTCTATTATTAAGCACAGTGGTAAATAATTTTGAAAGACAGCTAACTAATGTTATGCCTCTATAATTGTAAACATCATCAGTACTACCCTTCTTATGCAAAGGTATTATAATTCCCTCAGTCCATTTCTCTGGATAAAAACCCGAATTTAAAATAGCCTTAAATATATCACACAAACGCGCACCTATTATATCAAAACTTTCTATGAAATATTCATTCATTAAACAATCACTACCTAAAGATTTACCCCTTTTCAATAGTTTAACAGCTTTTGAAATTTCCCTTAAAGTTATTGGTTTATCTAATTCTTCAAATGGAGTATTCAAGTCATTAAAAGAATGGCTTTCACAAAAAATTTCCGCATCAATATTTGTACAGTTAAATAAATCACTACTAATGCTCTCAAAATATTCCTTAAATACATGTACAGGGATACCGTTATGTTTTGAACTGGATTTACTCTTAAAATATTTCCAAAATTGTTTCGTATGGTGGCATATTTCTGCCATCAGATAACCTGTTAATTAACTAGTTAATTAAGAGGTTAACTAGTTACTTAACTAGTTAACCTGTTAATTAACTAGTTAATTATCAGGTTAACTAGTTACGTAACTAGTTATTTTTTTCAATAAAGAAAAGACCATGTTTTGTTTGTGCCCGCAACTGCCATCCCTTATTGTCAGCTAAATATTAAGAGGTTAACTAGTTATGTAACTAGTTAACCGGATAATTAACTAGTTAATTAATAGGTTAACTAGTTTTATAAATAATTAACTAGTTAACCTCTCAATAAACTAGTTAATTATCAGGTTAACTAGTTACGCAATTACCTAACTAGTTAACCTAATAATTAACTAGTTAAGTAAGAGGTTAACTAGTTACGTAACTAGTTAATTATCAGGTTAACTAGTTACGTAACTAGTTAACCGCTTAATTAACTAGTTAAATAATAGGTTAACTAGTTACATAAAAACTTAACTAGTTAACCTCTTAATTAACTAGTTAAATATCAGGTTAACTAGTAAGGTATTTGCGTAACTAGTTAACCTGATAATTAACTAGTTAATTAAGAGGTTAACTAGTTACGTAACTAGTTAACCCGTTATCACTTATCTATAAATAGCATTGTTTTGCTCCATTGAATTGATACAAAGTCCCCCTTAAGTCATTGCAGACATTAAAAGGGAATTACATTTGTGTTTGGAGGCGAAATAGAGGTAAATATTTTTAATTTTAACAAATATATAATGATTCTAATGTTTGATATTGATAAAATACATTACAATAAATATTATTTATAGTACAGTCACAAGTTCATTTTTCACTCATAGGATGCTTTGTGAATACGGTTCCTGGTGCAGTAAAACTGCGATCCCTCGAGGTCGCAGGAGACCGAGGCTAAACTACGAGGGAACCGATGTTTCGAACGATCCGATTTTCAATTCTCCGGTCTGTTAAGAAATAATATTGAAGTATAGTATGTTAAAAATATTCCTGACACCATTTAAAACATATTTACCACATTTGTTTATCTGTATAACTGCCTCCGTGGTCAAGGGGTTAGAGTCAATGACTTCTAATTCAGTAACCTCTCTGGCATGGGTTCGAACCCTGGGAGATGCTTTGGTAGTTTAGCGCGGAGGAAGGTAGTCTAGTACTGGTGTAACACTCCAGGAACGATGGTTAGGATATTACCCGCCTAAATGACTGAAATACTGTTGGGAAAAGGCGTAAAATGAAACAAACAAACAAACTTGTTCATCTGTATGTCCGCATTCCCCCCCTGTCTATCTGTATTTTATTTTTTACTCAGATGCAATCTGATGCTATAACCAGGGATGAGAGGGTTGTTTTGTACTATCACAGGGGATTCACAATCAAAGAGATTGTTGGTTTTATGACCTTACAACACGACACTATATTGAGTGAACGAACAGTACATAGGATTTTGAGAAGCCAGGGACTATACAGGCGTCAAAACCAAAGCGGGTTACCAGATGTTGTTGAGGTAATTTTACTGGAACTTTCCGGAACCGGACAGAATGCTGGATATCGTCAAATGAGACAGAGACTTTTGGTTCATCATGGTATAGTCGCAACTTGTGTAACTGTGAGGCTTGCACTTAGTGTAATAGACCCAAGTGGTGTAATGCTTAGACAGTCTAAAGCACTCAGACGTCGTGTTTATAGAAATGCTGGCCCTAACTTTGCTATACATTTCGATGGATGGGATAAGTTAAAACCATACGGCGTGTCAGTGCATGGTGGTATTGACGGGTTTTCCCGACGACTGTTGTGGTTGAAATGTTGTAACTCAAACAAAAAGCCTCAGTATATTGGTCACTTTTATTTGGAGTATGTTGAAGAAATTCAAGGCTTGCCGCTGCGCGTGTACGCTGATCGAGGTACAGTAAATGTTATTGTCCGTGACATACAACATGCTTTGCATTCGATGGACCCGCATCAGTATTTGGGGTATAGCAATTTTGTGTATGTGTCGTCCACCAGGAATGTAAGGATAGAACGATTTTGGAGGACATTACGGGACATGTGTGGGAACACATGGATGAATTTTTTTAAGGATATGTGTGATATGGGGATCCTAGATACCACGGATAACCTTCACCTGGAATGTGTTAGATATTGCTATTTTACTCTAATAAGAAAAGACCTCAATGATGTTATGAGTGTGTGGAACTCACATCGGGTTAGGCAATGTCGTTTTGCTGAAAGTCCAGCTGGCAAACCGGACGTTTTGTTTTACCAGCCGGAACTGTACGGTGCTAGGGATTTTAAAGTTCCATTGGCAAATGGTTTGCAAGAAGTCAGAGAAAGGTTTTGTGAGAATCCATCCCAGAATGGTGTATCTGAAGATTTTTTAATTTTAGCCAGGAACGCATTGACAGAGTTCGATATGGAGTACCCTGCTAGAAACAGATTTGAAGCCACGGAAATGTTCATTGCAATAACTGCTTATGCTGACTGCTTGTAAAAATAAAAAGTATTGTAAAGTAGAAAAAGTACTGTATACTGTTGATCTGGAGCTTTTCTCTACATAATTTAAGAGTTGTCTGTGTGTGTTCTTTGTCATTTAACAGTGTGTACATAGGAAGATTTAAAAGAAATAGTAGATCCAATCCAATTTCCAACTAGCTCGACGATGTGTACGCTGTTCATCCGTGATCACGGTGGAACAGCGTACACCATCATGCCAGGAAATACCAGCCAATTTTCCACTACACATTAACCCCTAATTGACCGAGAAGCTAAGGTCAATTTCTCATGTTATCATGTCTTGGGAATTGCTGCATTTTGGTTTGGAAGAATGTATTAAATTTTGCCAAGAAAAACATTAGGAAGTATTAAAGGGACTGTGCCACAGATTGGCACCAAACAAAGTTTTTTTTTCTGAAACGAATCTTAGGACAATTATCCAATAGAATGTGTTAGTTACGCTTTAATATCATAAATGTAATGTAAAATTATGTGTCGGATACCGGGTTCGAACCCGCATCGCCAAAATTGTAGGCCAGCGTCTCACTCACTGCACTACAATTAAAGGCAATTCCTAATTAGGGGATATAATTAAGCTATACACCTACCTAACGTGATAACACCGACTAGCCAATCACGCATAAGGAATGAATTCTACCTGGTTGACATACCTATCTTTTTAATGGAAAAAAATACGATAAAATAAGTGTTATACATAATACTTCAATTGTGTTTACTTCATAATGAACACATCATATTCTTGAGCATTGTGAATTAATTTTCGTATAACAGATGCATCTGGCATTGTACGTCTTAATACCGTAATCGGTGTAAGAACATATTTTGCCCCCCACCACACGTCCCGATCGTTTCTGTAAAAATTATTTAACCCCCGAACAGAAACAGACTATGTACTATTGAAGTTCAAATAAATATGTGAGGTGAACATGTTTAGTCATTTAATGCGTGCACTTCAAGTCTGAGTAATACAGCTGGTAATGCTGCATTTGTTGCTGTTATACATCACTACTGTTTCTGCTATATACACTGTAACTACCACCGACGCCAACACCACCACCACCGGTATTGTGATGAACCACTGACGCTGCTGTGGATATTGTTGTTGTTGCCATTTATGCAGTTTCGGCTATTACACCTACTACTTTCTATCCAATAACTACTTGTACTGCTGTTAATCTCGCGATAATCCACTATATATAGATGTGGATAAAAGGGCTATGTTTTAGTATCAATGCGTATACCCCTTTATTTTCCTCAGATTTTTGACTCCCAAAATAAAGACCCTCCGTTATCATTTTATTTCGTGCACATGAGTCAAAATATTAGTTTAAACATTTAATTTTACAACAATTGTGATAAAAAAAAACATATTAATTACTGTTGTTGGCACAATTTTAGGCGAAAGTATGATCTTGTTTGGTGGTGGGAGTCGGAGAACGCAGTGATAAACCATATGTCCGGCCCCATCCGTTATCATTTTATTTCGTGCACATGAGTCAAAATATTAGTTTAAACATTTAATTTTACAACAATTGTGATAAAAAAAAACATATTAATTACTGTTGTTGGCACAATTTTAGGCGAAAGTATGATCTTGTTTGGTGGTGGGAGTCGGAGAACGCAGTGATAAACCATATGTCCGGCCCCATCCCAAACTCACATGCGCCCACGCCAGGATTCGAACATGGGTCGTCTTGGTGAGAAGCGAGCGCGCTTACCAGTGCACTTACCAGACAACCAACCCGGAAGTGATAAAGTGTGACCCGTGGGCCATTTTTTCTAAAGAATATTGACTCGGTCGTAATTTTATTTACGCAAGCCAAACCCTAATAGCATCTTAAACAACGATACAGTAATCAATTTGTCGAATCTAAGCTAAAGGCGCTATTTCATTACATTTAGATGTCACGGAGTTAATAAATATAGTAAGTTACATTCGTACTTGATGTTTTCAATCTTTAATGTAATGTTGTCAAGAAGTTTTTTAATTTAAAAAAGACATCAAAGATTTATTACTCAATTAATTTTAAAACTTTAAATAACATGGCACCGACTTATATGACAGAACTGATGACTTTATCCGACAACAAAATATATTTTTGTTTGTTTGTTTGGATTTTCACGGCACGTCAACACATAACTGGCCATATCGTGCTGAACGCTATAATAGGCTAAAATGTTATGTAAAACTTTGTAAATGACAATAGAAATGAACCAATTAGATCCTAGAATACAAGTTTATCTCTTTCAAATAATCAATTATGTTTTTTGATGGATTTGTATTAAAAAGTTCTTTGAGTGAATTTACAGAATAAAATCTATTACGGGCCTGTGAAAAATCATGACATTCAAGAAGAAAATGCTTGACAGTAAAATTTTCATTACAACCTACACAGAAAGGGGCATTGTCATTTGTAAGGAGATAAGAATGGGTAATTTTAGTGTGTCCAATTCGGCATCGTAGAAGAACCGTTTGATCACGGCGGTTTGACAGAGATAGAGATGGTGACACATAAAGAGATGGGTTTATATCGTGAAAGTTATTAAAAACGGCATTGTTCCAATTTGCTTTCCATTCAGATGATACGAGTTTATTTATAGCCGGTTAAAAATCACAAACAGGTAACAATAAGCCAGCCTTCTGAAAATTTAATGATTGTTTAGCTAAAGCATCTACTTTTTCATTTCCTCGTATTCCTACATGACTTGGAATCCAAAATAATTTAACATATTTTGTTTTTAGTATATCATGAAATCGTAAAAGAAGTTTCTTTACCATGATATTGTCAGATTCTTTATTTTTAATGGATATTAAAACAGAAAGCGAGTCAGAAAATATCAGAAATTTATCGTGGGTATGCTGTGCTATGTATGACAATGCTTAATCGATAGCTTTTGCTTCAGCAGTAAAAATTGATGCATTATCTGGTAACCTCATACTAGATGTAAAATTATTTTCAAACACAGCTGCACCTACTTTGCAACCTTCTTTTGAACCGTCTGTATAAATATGTATAAAATCTTCATGTTCTTCCTTAATTGCTAGAAACTTCTCTTTGAAGTATTCAGGTGAATTTGATGACTTGTTTACATTTGAAAGGTTAATATTTATTTTCGGGGAATTATAAGTCCAAGGTGGAACATCCTCATCGTCATTTTGAAGGATACTGTCTGGATTAATTTTAAGTTTATCTAAATCATCTTTTAAACGAAGGCCTAATGGTTTAATTTTCTTTGGTTTGTTAACAAATTTTTCAGTATAACTTGGTTTGAAAATAATATTTTTAGCTGGATTTTTGCTATTAGATGAAATTCTAGTTGCTTATGAAGTGATAGCTTTTTTCGACGAAGATGAAGCGATGGTTCCCCAGCTTCCGCATATAGACTTTCTACAGGTGAAGTGCGAAAAGCACCTAAAGCTTAACGTAAACCCTGGTGATGTATGGTATCTAGCATTTGAAGATATGATTTTCTTGCAGATAATATATCCCATATACTACAGAACCATAATCTAATTTTAATCTGATAAGACTTCTGTATAATTTTAGTATTGTGGAAGAATTTGATCCCCAATTTGTACTTGATAGAACCTTAAGTAAATTTAAAGCTTTAAGGCGTTTAGTTTTCAAATGTTTAATATGTGGTATAAAAGAAAGTTTTTTTATCAAATATAATTCTTAAAAACTTAGCTTCATCAACTACTGGAATTTTAGAACCAGATATAACTTAAGATCTAGGTCACGAAAACATATTGTATTATGAACAAGTTGATTAATATTGTAAACACACAGAAGAAAAAAGATTTACACTACTTTTTGTGCGAGACCTTGAAATGTGTATGTAGATATTTAAGCGACATTTTCAGCTTCTCATATGATTGTCTACGTTAGACAAAAATGAAGTGTGTAAAAATATTGCGTGAAACATTAACTGCTGTCATCAATATACCAGCTGACCTACTTTATTTTTCAAAATTCACCCGTGATAATAGTCGCCGCTGTGTTCGTCCTGACAATAAATTAAAAACCAGGAGATCTGACGCTTTGTGACCGTACAATAACTTAAAAACTAAGAGGCTTTCATATGTGATCCCGTGACCCCACATGATCCAGTATCGAACGCGTCCGAGATTACTGTGTTGTTTGTGAATATCAATCCGAAGTTCTGACAACCAGATCAAAAATGTGGCCTATAGAACGGATACATGCTGACTGTGGACTGAAACCCAAGACGTACAAAATTGCAAACTAAAAATTACCCTGACCCTCAGCTTGTTCGAGCCATTATTTCGACACCACCTATTTTGAAATAGCTTGGCCCAAGCTCATGGCATGATGAGATGGTGTGTCGAACACATTTGTGCTATAATATTTTGATTCTCTCCATGATTGCAGTTTTAAATAACTTGGCACAAATGTTTGTCATATTGAGACGGTGTGTCGCGCACATGTTTGGTGTTCTCAGACTCAATGCCAAGGTCGAATTGAGAAAGCATAAATAGCCAGAATTTGGCTTGTCTGTGCCATGACATCTTCGCTCTAAACTACTTCACTCATAATCAGTCGGGTATAGTATAGTTCCTCGTCGGGAAGCAAAAAGGTTACCATTCAGTGCTACTTTTAAGCCAAGACCATTTCTTCTGACCCGTGTCAAAAACTTTCTACAGGGAAGCACTGAAGTACGGAATCGTAGTTTATCATTTTGACCCCTTGTGACCAGGATTCGAACTTGACCTAAATTTGGTCAAGGCAAACATTCTGACCAAGTTTAATTGAAATTGGGTCATAACTGTGGCCTCTAGTGTTCACAAGGTTTTTCTAAGATTTGTCATGGTGACCTAGTTTTTGACCCCACATGACCTAGATTTGAACTTGTGACGATCTTTTATAGTCCAAGAAATCCGTGCATAAAATAGGGTGAATTGTGCACCTCTTGTGAAAAGCATGAAACTTGGCACAGTTGTTGGTTGATAACATC